TTTTCAGTATTCGTATTTTCACGCTCGTAGTTTGAGTAATTACGAGTCAAGAACTGGAGCCTGGAGCTTGATCAAGAAAGATATGGTAATACGTACTATAGGTACTAGTCAGTTAAGATTACTGACATAAAATAGTTTACCAAAATCATGCGGAAACGTTCACCCAACGTCGCTAGCGCACAGAATGTGACCTACCCAGAGAAAAGAAAGCTAGTGCATCCAGCAAGAAACGTAGATCTCTCAAAATATTGATTCAACCTTGTGCTTATACTGTGTGGACCTTTCTCGTTCTCATTTCCACAATTTCAACTGACCCTATTTCTTCTACTATTCTAATAAATTTTCATTTTATTCTCGTTTACGTCAATTTTTATATTAATCCAGGCGTGATAATTCGTCTCAAAATGATACTGCCTGATGGACAGGTCTCCCCTAGTGAAAATCGGACTGTTCGCTTGAGAGCTTGAAAAACTGAGGTAAAAGAGACGGCAAAGGGTCGAATCTCGTTCGTTTCCAAACTGAGTCTCCAACTGTCTCTTCCAATTGCTCAAGCCAGTAGTCCATCCGGGGGATCCTAGGTAATTACTTAGGAAATCCTGCCTGACAGTCAGCCTACTGCGTCCTCATTGGTTGATTCCATATGGGCAGTAAGTTGAGTGGGTAAAATCGATTCACGCGTGATTAAATTCATGGCTCAAGGTGAGCCGTTTAGTTCAATGTTATAGCGTTGGCTGCGCGAAAGCCTTCCCTACTGTGTGGGTTCGACTGCCACCGAGGCCGCAATTCTTTCACAATAGGATCAATGGAATTAAAAAGTATATATATTGGACATGGCCATCTAGACATACTCTTCAACTGATTGGTCAGAGGAGTCTCCACGTGCTGCCGGAGCCAGATCGAATTGGAGTTCCACCTTATCCAGAAGGAGAGCTCCGTTGTCGATTCTTCGTTTGCGCATGCGTTGGGCGAGCTGTCAGATGAAAGGCAGAGAGAGAAGTGTAATCAGAAAAATAAGCAGAGCCGCGTCTGAGCTAAAAACGCAAATTTCCGATTGTTATTAGAAATATGAATCAGTAAAGAGCACGGCAAATCTAATGGCTGTCAAGAAGGCGCTTAGTCAAGAGCTATCATTCAACTTGTAGCGTGATCTTTAATTAGCTTTTATACCCTAAAAGTGTATCCTGTTGGTGCTACTATATTTGACAATGGGCTCATACATGAGTTCGACGTGCGAGAATGCTAGATAAATTGTACCGGTGCGCGACCAGCTATCTTGTTTGATTGTCAAAAGTGGTAGAAAGGGAATTCCGTGGAAGCGTATCCATCCTGAGTTCGTACAAACTACGCCCTTCTTAGTTGACTTCGTCCACATCAATATAACTAACAAAACATTGTTACAGTCTCGGCATACAATTCAGGCATAATGTTGACATTTTACAGGAGTAAGAAGCCCTAGGAAATTGAAAAAAAACTATAGTTTTTACCATGTTGAGGTAGTAGAGAGAGCGTTTGATGTTTCCGAGGGAGAATGGTCCATGAACATTGACGGATGACCGCAGGGACTCAAGACCATCGTCTGAGGACTCGAGTAGGCGTTGGGCATTCTCGTAGGAGAGTTTGGCACAGGAGCGAATGATAGAACGACCAAACCAAACATCAAAAACCTGGTGAAGAGGGCGAGGTAATGTGTATTATAAGGACCAGTGGATAGCAAAGGGAAGTGTTGCAAGAAAGAGGTTTAGTTATCCACTTTTTTGACGAACCTGAGCTTCGCTGTCCACCTTAAAGACGACTGAAAAAGCGAGTCTATCAGCTCCAGGATTCAGGCTACAGAGTTGTTCCGACAGAATTGACGGTAGCATCGGAATCACCTGAAACACACAGATTGCACAAAGTTCTATTAACATCTGCGTAATGGAGAAAGTATGGGTTCTAAATACTGGACCATTGACCGTATTTGGACTAAACAAAACTCCAACCGTTAGTAACCTTTTGAAAAATAAGATAAACACGAGACTGTGGAAATCTGATAAGCTTTAAGATGCATATCTGAAGAGCAAAATACCAAAGAACAGAAAACGAGCTAAAGGTTATCTCGTGATTAGGCCTTCGCCAAATTGAAGGTTGGATACCGAAGACAATTGGGGTATAAGACATCTTTGGAAGACGACGTACGAAAGGATGGCGAAAACCCGAGGTAGTCGCAAACTACAGTCAGTATAGAGACATTATTTTGGATGGTAAATGAGAACGCCTTGGCTACAGAAACTGCGACAATACCGCTTTTGCTCACACCTTCTAATCTGACTTTTGTAAAAACTAAATTTGGCTAACAGGTACAACTAAAGCACAACAAACATAAACACCTTTAAAACGAAATTATTCGAAAATAAACTCGAGAGCCAAAAAATGCAATTCTCTTCGGGAAAACAGTTTTAAATACACACTAAGTCACCGTAAGGGCTAGAAAAATTTACATTCTTACGCGCTGAACCAAGTAAACAGATGTGGTCCGATCAGCTGCCTCCCGATCCAGTGCGGAGTTCGGTCGCACGAAAAAGGACACGTCGGCAATATGCACACCAACTTCGAAAGTATCTGAAAACGAAGTGTACATAAAGAGCTAGCTTGAAAAGTCCTTTTAAAGTCGTTCGGCAAAAAAGAATCAGAATGAGGCAGTTTATGGTCCACATTATGCGGTGCTTCGGTCTAGGCAAATTCAGGGTTAACCGGACTTCCGGTCAGACAATCTTAGAGACAAATCTGACGTCGGTACTCACGTGGACCCTGAATTGCGTACAAAGTACAGCCATCGTGGTTATTTGCAGCGAAACAAATAGGTGAAGTGCTAAGTTTAGACGATAGTCTAACTCCCTGAGTTAAGGGATGTGTAGTAGTTTGTTCTGCAACTGCTGTTTTTTTCTAAAGAAATGAGAGGCGATGAGATAGTAGCAGAATTGAGAAGGCGAGGATGTTGAACGAAACCGCCTATCACATCTAACTCCCTGAGCTAAGAAATGTGTGGTTATGGGTTCTGCAACCGCAACGTCTTTTAAGGCATAATCACGCCTACTGAAATGCATATAGTAGGTATTTCAGTATGTTTTTAAAACACCCCTACTTATCTCACTGTTACCCGCGTTCATTTGGTAAAATATATAGGAAAGCTTTATGCCGTAACTAAGCGATAATTGGTGACTAACAAGCACGTACTTGGACCGCACTTTCGCACATGCAGAGCGTCGTCCACATCCTTCGCTGTCGCGGGATCGACAGAGACTATGCAGTTCGAACGGAAATCTCTTCGGCGGACGTATTCATACTGCGGTATAGTAAATTCCTCCTCTGAAGCCGGTAATGTGTTGACCATCTATAATATATAACAATAAGACGCAGTGCGCTTTTCGATTGAAAAAAAATAATATGCGAGGCGAAGAGGCATTTAAATCGGATGTTCCAGCGATCGCATCTACTTCTGTTTACTTGCTTCCCAGGGTTCATATTTTCGCTTGCATCACCAAGATATTATTTAAAATACCCACCAGGAAGAGGAGGCTCAGCCCTCCTCAACAATATTTGACCTATGTTCATTATTCATGCAAGCATTTAAAAAAGAGAAGCACACTTCCGACTCCTGGGAGAAGACGCGCGAATGAACTTAGTTAAATAAATAACCGAGAGCAAGGTCACAGCAAGTTCACAGCTGACATCATAATACGTGAGTGGTGTTCCTCTTTTTCGAAAAAAGAGTGAAATGCAATTAAAAACTTGCCTCCTCT